CCCTGCCCTGTCTCCCCCTCCCAGATCAACCTGCTGATCTTCATGAGGATCCTCAAGGTGATCCTGGCCAAGCTCCGTGCCAACCAGAAAGGCTACGCAGACTACAAGCTGAGGTGAGCTGGGGGAGGGTCCTGGTCCTCCCTGCTCCTGGGGCTACACCACCTCCACATCCACCTCCATGTCCACCTCCACCTCCATGTCCATGTTCACCTCCACGTCCACCTCCACGTCCACGTCCACCTCCACCTCATCCAACCACCCCCACCCCCCTGAGATCACCCCAGAGCTCCTCCCTGCCTGCCCCTGCCCCAGCCCTGAAAAACCCTGCTGCTCTTCCAGGCTGGCCAAGGCCACACTCACCCTCATCCCCCTCTTTGGGATCCACGAGGTCGTCTTCATCTTCGCCACCGACGAGCAGACCACAGGCGTCCTGCGCTACATCAAGGTCTTCTTCACCCTCTTCCTCAACTCCTTCCAGGTGAGGCTGGAGGGGAACTTCAGCCCCAAAAGCACCCAGAAATGGCCTGGGGAACACTAAACCCACCCCAGCCCTGGGAAAAGGGGTGGTGGTGGTGGTGGTGGGTTCACTCTCCTGCTCTCTCCAGGGCTTCCTGGTGGCCGTGCTCTACTGCTTCGCCAACAAGGAGGTGGGTACCTGCTGCAGGTTCTCCTGCCCAGCAGCTTTGCCATCCCAACCCTTGCCTGCTCGGTGTGTGAGGATCAAGCCCCCACCCTCTCCCTGGCCACGGCAGGTGAAGTCAGAGGTGAAGAAGAAGTGGCAGCTCTGGAAGCTGGACCACCCAGCGCTCTGCTGTGCCCAGTGAGGTGGCAGCCGGCCCCGCCGAGCCAGGGGAGTGGGGCTGCTGCCCACGGAGGGCACCAGGGCCTGGCTGGAGGGCAGGGGACCACGGGGAAGCTGTGCTGCAGCAGCAGCAGCCTCCCAGCACGGCTGGACTGGGACCAGGGTCTCTGCTGTGGTGCTCTCAGAGGGGACACGCTCCCACCACAGTCCCGGGGGCTGGCAGGG